ATCAGCCTACCACAGAGGTAAACAGTGTGCATGGGTCTACTACCTCTTAAATGCATAATAAACAGAACCTCATGGACTCCTTCAACAATCCTGTGAAATGCATGCCAGAATTGCTATTCAAGTTGAAGACACCAAGCCTCAGTGCAGTTTGGGATTCCATCCACAGTCAGCTGGGATGCAACCCAGATCCCTGAGCCTGAGCCATGGCCTTGCCTCCAGGCTTCTCTCCTATTCACCTGTACTTCCTCTTTCCTGTCTGGGCCTGTTCCCCAGCTCTCTGCTGTTTTCCAATCTGTCACATGTTATAACCACATCTTGACCTTGGGGATTGCCAATCAGTCAGCTGAGAGGCTGCCCCTCAGAATTGTAAGGCCTTTTTTTTTTTTTTCATTTTGGGGGGCCTATTATGCTGGGTGCAAGAGCATTAGGGAAGGCAGACCTTAGCCAAATACCTGACAATCTAAATATCACAAGGTATATCTAACAGATGGGATATAAGACTGCAGGATGCCAGAGCATAGAGTTCCAAACCCTGGCAGCCTGATGTGACTTTCTCTCTGACCCTTGGGCAAATCCTAAACTTCAGGGAAGGCACAAAGGCAGTAACTGAGCTCCGTAAGTAACCAGGTATTATTAATCTTTGTTTCCCCATGCCTCGCACGTAACTCTGCTCCATAAATAAAAGTTGAGGACAGGGTGAAGACAGGCAACGCCAAAAGAAACAATCTGTGTCTGAAGCCACCAAAGGGTTAAAACTTACTGCTTTCACGTTTGTCTCTTTCTATTCTACTCAGCAACTGATGACAGTACATACTTTTCCCTGTTACTATTGGGAGAAGGTTTTGCATGTTGCTCAGTTGCTAAATCACCCAAGAGCGATTGGAGCATAGGTTCTCAAAGGATCAGCAGGGGCCTGTCAGTGTTTTGATTAAAGAACCCGGAAACAGAAGGACTTTCGTAGCGGTTGATGGCGCTCCTGTTACCTCTCATCATTGTAGGCATGGCGAAGCACAACCAGGCCCGTGAGTATCCCCGATGTTCTTTACTCTAAGTCCAAAGCCAGGAGCATTTGCTTCCTAAAACTTGTGGTGAAAAACTGAAGAGCCGGGGCAGAGACACGTGTGCGTTATACCCAGGACTTGAAGGGGTGGCGAACCAGCTGAACAAGTTTCCAGTGTATGTTAGTAGCATTTTGATGTCACCCACCTTTTGAGCAGATGGAAGTCATTCTGAAAAGAATTTCCTGGTAACTGTCTCATTTTTCCTCTGAGCACTGTCTCCTTTCTTTTCTGCTCATATCTTTCCTTTTATTTTTGTTTCACCTCTTTTTTTAACTTAGGAGAGTCTCATGGGAGTGTACTTAGAGTTTCAGGGGCATTGAACAGTTTCAGAGATCCATTGTTCATGATAGATGTTTTTCCTCCTCACCACAGGGTCTACCTGTAACAAAAGATCCAAGAAGGATAAAACCATGGCGCTGGGCTTGTTTACTGGGTGTAAGAAATATTAATCACATAGAAGGAAGAGTTTTAAAGTTTAGGGGACTCCTGTTACTGGGGAAGCAGAATTCTTCTGTTGTCCCAACTTTGCAAGAGGACCTTTTAGGGTCAGGAAGCACCTGTCTTCTCTGCCCTAACCAACTGCTCTCCAGGCTGGGTGTTGGTGGGAGGGTCCAGAACTCAGACCTGCCCACCACCTTAGCTGGTGACTGATGACACACAACCATGTCAGGAAGGAGCTCTTTCAAATCATCTGTGTATTAATTCTATAATATTGATTGATGGCCTGCTGTGTGCAAAGTGCTTTTGGGGATATAACAACCCAGCGCAATGACACAGCCTGTACTCTAGCTACCAAGAAGACAGAGGCATTTGAAGCCACCCTGGACAACCATAATGAGAACCTAGCTCCAAAAAATACTTTTTTTTTTTAAATGTCAAATTTTATGTTATCTTTATTTTTTTGCCATGGTTTTTTATTTTATTCATTGATTTGGCAGCACCGGGGTTTGAACTCAGGGTCTCACGCTTACTAAAGAAGCACTTTACTACTTGAGCCACGCCACCAACCCTCCAAAAAATACTTAAAATGAAATTAAGATAAGGCCTAGATGTTTCTCTAGGCCTAGAGAGATTGATGAAGCTCACATGGTGAGAAGTCTGAAGTACACACAACTATTCTGACCTTCAGTCTGACCTTCAGTTTTTCACAACACCATGGCACCGTTGGATGTGAACACTTGGTGCCTTGGTAATTGGGGGAACGTAAAATAAAACAAGTTACAAAGGGTAGGGGAGGTCACTTTGTGCTAGTTACTCTCCTTTTGACCCCTTTGACGCTTTCCTTCTCTGTGCTATTTTGTGTCCTGGAGGCTGACTGCTACAGACTGCATCACTCTTATCTCCCTTGCAGGCTGATTTCTACATGGGTTCAACCTGTGGGAGATGCTGAAAGAAGAGAGACCAGAAAGGGGAGGAAAGAGAGACTGGAATATGTCTTTCTTGTTCCTTCCCCTCTTTCAGTAACATCTCTGATAGTAACTGTGTCCCTCTGCAATCTAGTTTTTTCCCAAATAATCCCTTATTTATGGTTCTCACTCTCATCAGGCTTTAGTAAGTCTTATTTGCTATTCTTATGTCTTCACCCTAGGAATAATAATGGTTTCTCATAGTGGCTAGACTCCAGGTGCTCATTATCCTTATTTGCTCCCATAACCTAGCTCATACCTCTGCAAGGTGTCCCTTTGTTAAGGCCTCTCCATGCAATCCATCTGGAGTAAAAGCTGTTTCCTGCCAGGATCCCATCACTGACAGGGAAGGGATTTTCAAGTTATGGGAAAAGACATGAGGTCTACTTGATATTTGTGCCCAGTGCTAGTCTTGATTAGGTGCTTCTAAACCATTGGTAGGGAACACAGGGAAGGATAACAGAGTGTTGGGGTCACAGCTCTAGAAATTGTTGAAATAACTGCACTATCTCTTCCAGTATGTTGCTGGCATTGATCCCATAGCCCAAAGGTGACCACTCCTCCCTTTGTGTTCACGTGGCTACTGTTTATAGTTCTATGATTTTCTATTTCCAAAAATCTTCCCTGCAAGATTCTCCTTAAAGGCTGGAAGTGATAGTCTCAATTTTCTCTTATTTCCCTACCTAGTACCCAATAGGCATTTAATAAATGCTACCTGAGTGAATTTATGTTCCAAAGTAATACCCATTAGAAAGTGAGGGAAGAGAAATGACCCAAACATTGTATGCACATATAAATAAAAGGAAAAAAATGGTTAAAAAAAAAAGAAATTGAAATTATCTGACTGTGAGCTAGAGAGAGCTTGGGCAGCAATAACGACTACAAATTCAAAACTGTGATTTATCATGGTTGCAGAATTTGTCTGGAAAAAAAGTGTTTCATGCTTTTACCACTCATCTTATTCTTCATTTCAATCCATGAGAAACTGAACTGGTGATGTGGGTGGATTTAATCAGACTGGGAGCATGCATGAGAATTCTCCTGAATGGTCACATAGGGTTTGTGTGTTTCGCCTTGCCATAATCAAGGTCAGTCTTTTGATGTCATTCATAATGTTGTGGATGTATTAGTTCACAATATCAGTCTATTTCATGAATGGTGGAGTCCGTCAGAGACAAGGACCAATGATGGATAAGCCCCCTAAAGCTGCCAGTTGGGCTAGTTTAGAAGACAGACTTGTTGATTATCTACTTAGAAATGATCTTAAGTTCTGACCTGAGAAAATATGGGCATTTGCTATAGATTTTATTAGACTTCAGTCTATTTCCATGGAGTCATTACCAGGGTACATGCAATAGAAATCTCTCCAAGACTCCCCTAAGACTGTCATCTTCTTGGTTGACACTGAATTTACCTAAATCTGAGAAATTCAACTAATTTGTAAATTTTTCTTCAATTTGGTGGAATATCTGTCTATTCTCACTTGACCTCAATCCTCCTACCCCAGAGAATTGCCAAAAACTGAAGGGAGGGGACCTAGATTAAAGGTCAACGTGTGGCTCTCTAAATACTTTTATTTTATGAAGCCCAAATTGAGACAGATGACAAAGGACATTCTTTCTGACATCCAGGTTTATATTTATTAGGGAAAACCTTTCAAGAGCATATATGTCAAGTCACATCTTGTTACAACTTCAATGAGTCATTTAAAAAGAATAGTATTCATAAAATTGGAATTCTTCTGGAAAATATAAGTCATATGGTCATCATTGTACCCAGAGTACTGAAAGAAACCACCAGAGGTCATTCATTCATTCTCTCCCCAGGTCTCTGCAGGGCCCTTCTGTGTTTCCTTGCTATTCCTCTAGCATGACCAGCATGTACCCTCCTCAAGGACTGGGGTTTGCTATGCTTCTGCCATGGCTTAATTCCTCACTCTAGCCACATCTCTGCTCAAAGGTTTGCTTCTCAGAGATACCTTTTCTGGTCCCTTTATCTAAAAGATCAACTTTCTCCACACTATCTCCTTTCTCTGCTTTATTTTTCTTTTGCAGGGTTGATCACCACCTGATCTTGTATTATATATTTTTGGCTACCGATCTCCCTTCTAGAAATTAGATCAGAGGTCTGGGACTTTGATTTGTTCATTTCTGAGCCCCTAGCAACTAGAACTTAGTGCTTACTGGAAATTCAGAAAAGAATAAGGCCTACATGAAATGAGATACTGGTAACCTTCAAAAGGGTAGCCATGAAAGAGTAGCTAAGAAGTTAGACTGTCACACTTGGCACTTTTAGGTTCCCGATAAGTTCCCATCATTAGACAAGTAATTAGGGGAGGGGACTAACAGTTCCTGCTGCATGTAAAAGTGTTCACATCACAGCCTGATTTGAGAAGTATCCAAAGTTTCTCTTAACTAAAAATATCGCCATCCACTTCTCCCCCCTCATTCCCTTGATGCCTGAAATTCCAAAGAGTAGTTCCCAGGAGTCATAATCATTTTAACCTTATTAAGGCATTGGGCATTGGAAGACACAACAAATAACTTGGACTTTGTTGACTTGGTTATCCAATGAGGACCTACTGCCACCTGAGGAAGGTCTGGAGCCTGGACCCCAGCAACTGGGAAATCAGAAACTGTGAGTCATCCTTGACACAAGGGGGCGAGAGAGAGCAGCGATGGTCTAGAAGTTAGAAGGCTGACACAGAGCCTGGGCTGGGGAATTGCCCCTTCACTAGGTAAGGCTGGGTACTGTAAGGTAGAGAGGCTTCCATTGGCGAGATCAGATCTTGGTACCAGGTTCTTCCATTTATAGATTCTAAGGGTGATCTTTGGCAACTAATCTCTCTGCACCCATTTTTCATCTGTGGAATGGGAATGATAAAATCTATCTCAAAGGGTTGTTGTGAGGAGTAAATGAAACCCATGTTTATCAAGGGCTTAATATGTTACCTTGGTACTTGCTCAATAAACATATGCAATTCTGTTGGTTGTGATTAAGATATGCCACTTTTCATGACTCATTGAAGATTCAAATAATCTGCACTTCCCCATTCGAGCATTTCCCAATGGGTGGCTTCCTATTAGAGCAGGGTCTCTGCCCTCTGACCTCCTGGAGCACTCCAGCTATTATCTGCCTCTTTTGTGGCAATTGCATTTACTTATGCGCTTTAGTTTCTCAATGATACCATAAATTCCTGAATGAAAGTACTGTCACCTGATTTGTTTTTTTCTTTCTGACATTGCCTCACAATTTCCCCTACATGGTAGATAATAAATACAAATTATCTCCATGGATGATTGCCTGATAACACATCATCAATTATATTAGGTTTTTACAACCTTTTTTGTAAAAATGGACAAACTGGCTCTGTTCTAGGTTAAAGGGACATAATTTAGGACTATAGAGTAACCAGTGTACCTATTGTAAGAACCATTTGGCTGTGTTGGTCAGGCTCTTCAGAAATGCCTATCAGAAGGTCATGGGAGGGCTGGTGAAGTGGCTCAAGTGGTAGAGCGCCTGCCTAGCAGGAGTGAGGCCCTGAATTCAAACCCCAGTACCGCCAAAAAAAAGGAAGGTCATGGGACAGAGCAGCAAATACCCTTTAAGAAGCAGCGTCTCACAAAAAGAGAATCAGAAGATGAGATGGAATTATATGAGTTTTCCATATCTGTGGGCTGATACTGTCTTTTCATATAATTCAGCCTTAATAGTTATACTAGAAATCTGAACATCTGAACAACATATTCTGGTAGGATGTAAATTATCACAATGTCTAACATAGTATGAAAGAGAGCGTACCATGGACTTTCCCCTATCTTTTCTGTTCTCAGTTACTGACTTCACATCTGTCAGTCAACATCCCATCACAGTGAAGTAACATTTTGGAAGCCCAACTAAGGAGCAAGCACAACTTGTACACTGTAGAAGTGCGACTTGTACCTTGTACCAGATGGGTAACCAGGCCCATGGTGCATGAAGAAGAGAGGACTGTGATGTCCTGGATCAGAGCCATATGGGGTAGACAAGCAGATCTCAGATGGAGTCTAGTATTTAGGTACTGAGCTATCTTTGAACTCAAGGCTTGTTGGTGCAGAACAACTGCTCCAAAACCAGGAAGAGGACTGAAATTGGGGACAAAAAAAGGAGAGTATACTGTACTGTCAGTGCTTTATAGCTACTTCTTTTAACTCTACATAATGCAAATTTTATGAAGTTATAGTTTAATAAGAAATTAAGTGCTATAGTTTTGATTCTTAAATGTTCCCCAAAACCCACATGTTAAGATTTGGTATCCAGGATGATACTAGTGGGAGGTGATAGAAACTTTAGAAGCCGGGCCTAGTGAGAGGTCTTCTGGTCATTGAGGGTATAGCTCTGAAAGGGATTGTGGGCCCCTGACCCCTTCCTTTCTTTTTCTTCCCTGCTCAACCACATACTACTGAAGAGTCCGCCAAAAACAAACAAGAAAGTATGAGAACTAATGCTTGTGATTTATTCTTCCCTTTTTAAATTTTTTTTGGGGGGGACTGGGGCTTTAACTCAGAGTCTACACCTTGAACCACTCCACCAGCCCTTTTTTTTAATGAAGGGTTTTTTCGAGATAGGGTCTCTCGAGCTCTTTTCCCTTGGCTGGCTTCAAACTGCGATCCTCCTGATCTCTGCCTCCTGAGTAGCTAGGATTACAGGTGTGAGTCTCCAGCGCCCAGCTTGTTCTTCCCATTTGCCTCTATCTTTGTATAGTTGCATCTCCAGAGTAGCCACAAAACCTTTCTAGATGTGGAGAAATAGAACGGTTTGAAAATTAATTGAAGGCTCAAATATATCTGTATTTTGCAGATTTCAAATTGGATATAAATTAGATTTTAGATCTGCTCCCCATTCACCAGTCTTCCTTGAATGAAAAATATTTTTTAAACTTTAAGTTCCAGGTTAAATTCAGCATATTTTGTTATTCCAAAACAGAGAAATAAAGTGCTTCACCAACCATTTGGTTTGTGAAGTATTTACCAGCTTCCTACCAACTGCCAAGCTCCCTGTGCTAGGCCTTGTGGGAAATATGAAGAAAAAGAACTGAAAGTCAGTCCTTAAATGGCTCAGGGTGGAGAAAGTAGAAGGCAAGCAAAGGTAGATAGCACAGAAGGCAAAATGTGGTAACCATTGTGCTTTTGCTTCAATCTCTGGCTCTTATTTTCATAAGAGCCAAAACTTCTATGAACAGAGACTCTCATGACAGCCCAGAGGCTTCGTCTATGTTGCCACCAACATCAGCCCCACCCACTACAGAGGGGAAAGAGGAAGTGAAAGGTTAAAGCAATAGAGAGGGGCACTGGGGGCCTTATGCTGTCTGGGTCTGGAGGACACCAACCTGTCTCTTGCTCAGTGCTGCTGCTGACATGGAGGATGAAGGTATGAGAAGGGAACCCATGGGCTGAGTGCCTGCTCTGAACCCTGCCAGACTGCCCACCCCAGTTGGAGTTGCAGAGAGAAACAGGGGTTCACGCTGGCTCTACAGAACTGGTACAATTAGGCAGAAGGTGCCCAGTAGGCCTGGTTCTATCTCAGGGCATCCTGTCTCATAGTAGTTAAGGTAAGTAAGGGTACTTCTGGTATGGGGGTGGTTAGGGCTCATAGATGAGCTACATATTATGAATTCTTTCATAAAGTGTGTTAGTCAGCTTTCTATCACTGTGACAAATGCCTGAGACAGTCAACCTATAAAGAGAAAAGGTTTATTTTTGCTCACTGTTTTAGAGGTTTCAGTCTATGATTGATTGGTTGTTTTGGGGCCTGTGGTGAGGCAGCACATCATGTTGGGAACATATGGTAGAGCAAGCTGCTCACCTCATGGTGAACAGGAAGCAAAGAGAGGGAGAAAGAGGAGGGGGCTGGTGCTCTTCAAGAGCACACCCTCACACTAGGCCCCACCCATCTCTTAAAGGTTCCACCACCTCCCAAAGAAGCCACACCGTGCATTGAGCTTTCAGCACATGGTTTTTACAGGGAGAGGGTGGGAGGACAGCGACATTTAAGATCCAAACTATAGGAGACACTTTTAGAAAAATATAGACAGACTTGCTTGAACAGAGGCTAACCCAACCATTTTGTAAGCTGATTTTTTTTTTTAAGTTTGTGGGGGTTTTTTCTTCACTATATGTTTATAAATTGAGAGGTAGGAATGAACATCATTGAATGGGATTTAGCTTAATAAATAAGAGCCAGACACTCATGGAGGTTTTTCTGCAGTGACAAGAGCCACACTGGAACACTCGAGTGCTATGGGAGTTCCCAAAGAGGATGCCAGCATTGGGTTAGACAGTATGGAAAGAGTCTGGAGAAGTGGTGTCTAATATGGCCTTTTAATACAGGCAAGGGAAACCCTGAATATGTTCCACACTTCAGAGCCTCATGTTGACCCTGTACTATCCACATTCCTGACCTTTCCTCCCTCCCAGAGCAAGGAGTCTGGGAGGCCAAAGGATGTGGCTATCCTATGTCCATGCCTCTCCACTCTAGACCACACTCTATGTGGCTGGGAACATGTCTTTCCCTGTCAGATGACTCAGGCTATGTAGGTTTACACAGGCTACTCCTTTGGTCCATCTCAGAAGGGTGGACTATGCTTCTTGTGAAGCCCTGCTAGATCCAAGGGATGGCCAGGAGCCTGTGTTTGTGAATGAAGTTTGAATGAGAGAGAAGGAGTATTTAAATGTGATCACAAAGCCCTTGGTAGGACTGGATGGAGCCAGAAATTGGAAGCAAAGGAGGTAGGTTCCAGGCCAAGGACTGGGGGCTAGAGGATGGACTTGTTTTCTCTATGCCACTACATCCAGGTCTAGAACTTCACAGAGACAGACTTTTAAAACGTGCGCTTGGCCTTCAAGGTCATATTAAGGGTTATTTCTCAAGTTAGCAGGTTAGAACATTTAGTTTGTTCGGTTGATTTATTCCTTTTAAATATTTGGATTTCTGGCATGTGGGTCTCCATTGGTCCTCTTGACTCAGCCATGCAGATGTCACGGCTGGTCATGGGACTGTTTGGAGAGGGAGTTTTGATGACTGGGAAGGATTTAGGTGGGGAAGAATAGCAGGAGGTAACAAGACAAAAAGCTGAGAGATGGGTGTTTCCAGACAATGGCCTGGAACCCACCTCCTTCTCTTTCCACTTCTGGCTCCATCCTGCTCTGCCAATAAGAACTGGGCACCTCTTACCTGCCAGCTCTTTGGCATAATGCGGCATGGAGGGCTTGCTCTTCTCAGCCTGGGCTTTGCTTCCCTCCCAGGCATTATCACTCCCACTGCCCTCTGATGTATGTGGCTATCAGAGCTGTGGTTCCCACAACTCACTCTGCTCCCTCAGATCTCCTGTTTGAATGCGTAGTTACTGCTTTCTCCCAGTTTCCTCCCTCCTGTACTTCCTCCCTTTGTCTACTCACCTCCTACCTGTGTCTGAGATCTCCTCTAAGATGTTACCTTCTCGGGAAAGGCTTCCTTGAGGGTCCATGCTAGCATGGAGACTACCTCACCAGACCCCAAACTTCTTGGATCAGTGGGTTCAGAAGAGTTCAACAGGAACAGAAGGGAGGCCAAACACTTGTTTCATTCACCATGCTTTTAACCTTTAATGATGATCACAACCCTTATATTGACATTTAATGAAAAAGTAGAGCAAGAATAAGAAAATGGTGCTGGTGGCTCACACCTGTAATCCTAGCTACTCAGGAGGATCTCAGTTCAAAGCCAGCCTGGGCAAATGGTTTGCAAGACCCTATCTTGAAAAAACCCATCACAAAAAAGGGCTTGTGGAGTGGCTCAAGGTCTAGGCCCTGAGTTCAAACTCCAATACTGCAAAAAAAAAAAAAAAGAAAAAAAGCAAGAAAATGGCTAGTGGGGGGGTTTAAAATCTTTTAAAAATTGTTTCTTAGGACACCTGAGTGTTTATGGGGGTTCTTGTTCTGCCTAACCTAGTGTGTGTATGCATGTGTGTGTGTGTGTGTGTGTGTGTGTGTGTGTGTGTGTGTGTCCCCACGTGTCACAAAAGGGTGAAGTGGGAGATCCTCATTTAGCCACCTAGAGGCAATGTTGGTAAAACAGGGAGTTGGGTTATTAGGGTTTTTCAACCCTCAGATTTCCTGAGGGTTCCCTCAGGCATGGTCGCCTGGGGAGCTCAGTGAGTGGTCTTGGGCCCTTCCCCTAAAATCAGAGCAGTTGCTATACTTTGTTTACAAGTTGAGGTTACTTGTAAAATTTTATCCTAAGGTTCCTAACCTGAACAAAAAAGGTCAGGTCATTGATAAAGAGTTCTAAAGTCCTTTCCAGGTGCTAATTTCTGAGGAAATGGCAGCCGGATCCCCAAAGTCATGGGTGCTGCTGAGTATGGAGATGGGATGCCAATGTGGGGATTCAGTGGACTGCCTTTATGCATTTGGTCATCTGGGACTCTAAATATCTTCCTTCCTTGCCTTCTCCCCAGGGACTCACTCTCTGAGATATTTTCGCCTTGGTGTTTCGGATCCTGGCTATGGGGTCCCTGAATTTATCTCCGTTGGGTATGTGGACTCACACCCTATCACCACATATGACAGTGTCACTCGGCAGAAGGAGCCTCAGGCCCTATGGATGGCAGAGAACCTGGCACCAGATCACTGGGAGAGGTACACTCAGCTGCTGAGGGGCTGGGAGCAGACATTCAAAGTGGAGCTGAGACACCTGCAGAGGCACTACAACCACTCAGGTGTGACTGCAGCACTCTCCCTCACTGGTCCCTCCCCAGCAGAGAAGCCTAGGGCTGCCTATGGACAATGTGAGCAGTTGCTGACTTGTACTCTCTATAGCTTTTGGGAAAGCCTGGAAAATCTGGTTAATGGAGTTCGATGCCTACCATCTGCCCTTTGCATCTTTGTCCATCACTTTCCTGAGCGCTCTTTGTCCTTTGCTCCCATTCCCATCCCATTGCCATCTAGTCTTCTAACTTCTGTCTTCTTTCTGATTCTAAATTTGCCCATTTGTGTGCCTCATTTCCTGGTACGCATAGTGATTTGCTTACTTATGCCTAATGACTAACTACATTAACTTTCTTAGGGATATTTCTGGCTCCTATATGTTTCCTGTTTCTCTACTGTACTCATATTAGCATAAAGTTTCTAAATTAATCATTCTGAAGATAAGATAATTCCCCAAGGCAGGAATTATGCCCTTTGGCATGTGGTACGGTTACAAGTATCTGTCAACAGTGGATTTAGATAACAGGACCTCATGGAGACCCAACAATGCATGACAGGTCTGTTCGGTGACATCTTGTAGAGCAAAGGGTACTTCCAACCTGCCCCAGGCACATCACCTGAGAGCCCCCTCTGTCCCTACTGACTTGTGTATGTTCCAGGGCTTCACATTTACCAGAGAATGATTGGCTGTGAGTTGCTGGAGGATGGCAGTGCTACAGGGTTTCTCCAGTATGCATATGATGGACAGGATTTCATCATCTTCAATAAAGACACACTCTCCTGGGTGGCTGTAGATAGCGTGGCTCACATCACCAAGCGGGCATGGGAGGCCAATCATCATGAGCTACAATATCAAAAGAACTGGCTGGAAGAAGAATGCATTGCCTGGCTAAAGAGGTTCTTGGAGTATGGAAAAGATACCCTACAGAGAACAGGTAAAAAGAGAGAACATCTTGTTCTCACAGCTCTGGAACAACTGGTTCTATACATAACTTTCTCTTATGTATGTGACATTCATCCTGTACTGAAATCCATTTCTTTTTAGCTGGACTATTGTGACCTATAACTTCCCATGAGAATTCTCATTAGTCATATTTTTAGCAACATTTTGACAAAATTTAGCAATTCTACTTGTTTTTGATAGAATGGAGTACCTCTAAAGGAACTTCCTTTTTGGGGAAGCCAGTGAGGCAAATCCTTCCATCTCTTGTCAATGATATGTTGGAAAACAATTTGGCAATTCTTCCAAATTGAACTAGGAACTCCCACAACCCCAGTATAAGTGAAACTCTGGCCTAATGAAGAAGGCCTTTAAGAAAACAGAGGTTCTTAGCCTTACTCAATGACTAATTCTACAATTCCTTCAATAAAGAGCTCCTCCTCTACTTTAAAAATATGACCAAATGGCCAACTAGTTAATGCAGAATTTTTCCTTTATGATCTTATGATTCAAAATGAATTATGTCTGTACTATGCTGCAAGAAACTCCTCGACACAATGTGCTTTCTTTTTTCACAGAAGAAATTCCCTGGTGGAGGGACTTTCCAGAGTTGTGGCCGGCCTGTCTGGAAGAAATCTGAGCTAGTTATGAACATGTGCTTTCTGTCTAAAAGCAGACTATTAGAGTTTGTCTTTGACTTTTCTTCTCACTAGTTGAATGAGTATCTTAAGTTTAACGGTTGCAGGTACCACAAACCTATTTCAAGCTGGCTTAAGCACTTCCTATCTGAATGCAAGTAGTAGAGCAGTATGGCGATCTATGGAATCAAAACCAGGATTTGAATGGCTTTCTCCATGAGGTAGAGATGTGGCTACTAGCACAAAGCTCATATCCTCTTGGCTTTACCATTCCAGAATAATTGGCTACTATCTTCCAGGATTAGTTACCTAAATAAATAAGTACAGGAGGACTCTGATTGGCTTGAGTTGAATCATGTACCATCTCAGGCTGATCACTCTGACCATCAGGGTATGCTTCTAAAACTAGATAATAAAATCCTTGCTAGAACTAAATGTTTTAACTGGGGAGAACTCAACAAAGGATCATCTGCAGAGGTATAATAAGGACTGAATAATCCAGTAAGGGATGGTGAAATGTCTGGAGATGTACAATATTGAGAAGCCACTAGACCTCCATGGTTTGAAGGGCAGGGGAAGGGAATACTTCTAGCAGAGTCCAGCTAGTGCCAAAAAGAGATCCTCCAGGCATAAGTTGTGATTATGGAGGTAGATGGCCATTGTCAGGACTGCAGTGAGGTGGGTTGAGAACTGATGACTAAAACTTCAACCTCTCAGCTGGGCATAGTGGCTCACATCTGTCATCCTTGCTACTCAAGAAGCATAAATAGGAGGATCAATGTCCAGGTAGGCCCAGGCATAAATACAAAAATTATCAAAAACCTACAGCAAAAAGGACTGGGGGCATGACTCAAGTGGTAGAGCACCTTCCTGGTAAGAACAAGGCCCTAAGTATAAACCCTAGTACTGCCAACAAAACAAAACAAATCAAAACAAAACAAAAAAACACCAACCCCTCTCTCCTCCAGCTCTCAGATCTTTGGCTGAGGATGCTCATCCTAGTGACCAATCTCAGCTGGAACCAGAGGGCAAGAAAGGCCTGGAGATGTAATCTGAAGAGTACAGACTCCTGGGGCACTGGGCAGGGCACAGAAAGTTAGGAAGTAGATCTGGGGACTAGCAAAGACAGACTAACCACTATACTGTTTGGGTCATGGTTGGAGAGGGGAGATCAATATTGGTACTTCTTCACAGATGCACATGTTGGAGTAATTTTCCAAAATATGCTTTTGAAAAAATATGCTATTTAGCAGGAGAAAAGATTCCTGTTATCAGGAAAAAGGGGGAGCTAATAGATGTTAGACCAGAAAAGTAAAATAGTGTGGTAATGCCTACTTCACAGAAATTGATGTGCATTTATATGTATGTGTGTATATGTATATATGTATGATGAAAATACTTTGTAAATTGTAGAGTGCTGTTCTCATATTAAATGTCATTATTTTTACCTGACTGAAGAATGTCTGACAGAGAGGACTTGGTTAAAATATATGGCCAACTTGGCGTTGTATATGACCCTTAATCACTGAGACATTTTAGGCATAAATGAAGAGGGCCCACATAAATCCATTTCCTGATCTTGATGCCTTTGATTGCAAACAAAGAGAACCCCCAGCTGCCTGGCCTATGACTCTCAGTGAACACAGAACCGGGGAAAAAGTTGGGAAACTGGAACAAAGTTATTATAAATTGAGACTTGATGGTTCATCCTAATCCTGTTGATTCTGTTCAGTGCAAGGTGTTCTTTAGAGAAACAAGGGGGAGCCTGGACAGTGTGGGAAGAGCATGGGAAGTTTGACTTCAGTGTACCTGCTCCCCACTCCAAGCCTTCTCTGTATCTGCCATGAGTGTCCTAATGCAGTCTCAGCCTTCTGGTCAAAACCCATACCTAGAAAAGAATTCAGGACTAATTCTTACAGGCACTGTCAAAAAGGCTTTCCTGGTGAAATTCACATTTTATTTTTAATGTTGGGAGGTCTTCTCCTGTTACTAAACTTCATGCCTCAGGAGAAAGACAAGGAAGGTATTGTTGAGGTGAAGCTCTGCCTTGAATCCAGAGTGGCAGATAATAAGGTGGTGGGGAGGAGGTGAATCTTAGAGATGAGCAGGAAGCAAATCCTCTAAATAGTGTGATTGGTCTCTGTGTGGCTTTGTGACCCAGTTTCAGTTTCATCCTATGGAAAATGAACAGAATAGTCCCAAGGAAGCAAGGTCACAAATGGACAATCCCTTGTTGTCACTGCTAGAGCTCTTATATAATACAAATTTCTGTAGCTCCTTCGAGGGCACACCATGATGTAGATTGTTGCATGCTTCTATTTGATGACAATTATCAAAGTGCCAATCTGCATATACCAGGCAATTCAGAGCCAAAATTGAGCAGAGATGGCTGTGTTATTTATTGGCCCAGAATTAAAGTGGGGGAATACTGAGCTCTAATTTCCAATCTCTTAGTAAATTACTTATCATATGCAACCACACATTTTGTGGCTCACTTTTTCTTGACACTCAAATGTATTTCAAAGGTGAACAGTAAACATTCCGAGCACATGTTCCAAACATTCAATGCTATATGGCTTTTCCTCCTTGGAGGTGCGGAATGTGGCTTATTTCCACATTCTTCATTACCTAGCCATCTTACAAAGTATATTACAAATAAGTTTGTTGTTGATGAACTTGGGTTCTGGGTCATTCTTGGTTTTAGATATTTCTTACAGTGAAAAAATTAATTGGGAAGCCAGTTGCCAAGTTTGAATATAGTATGCTCAGTACAATAGACATGTCTATTTAACTTTAGCTTCTTCTTTCTAGAGCCCCCACTGGTCAGAATAAATCGCAAAGAAGCTTTTCCAGGGATTACAACTCTCTTCTGCAGAGCTCATGGCTTCTACCCCCCAGAAATCTCCATGACATGGATGAAAAATGGAGAAGAAATTATCCAAGAAGTGGATTATGGAGACATTCTTCCCAATGGGGATGGAACTTATCAGACATGGGTGTCAGTTGAGCTGGATCCTCAGAGCAGCGACATTTACTCCTGTCACGTAGAGCACTGTGGCGTCCACACAGTTCTTCAGACCCCCCAGGGTAAGGACAGAGGTCATGACTGTCCAAGGAGACTTAGGAAAAGGCTGAACAGGAAGCCATGCTGCTTGCCATGGAGGGGAGGGCAAATCATGGCATCACCCCTCATGCTGTGGAATGGGTCTTTTAAACCAAAGGTTCTCACACTGTTTGGTCCCAGGGCTTCTTTATACTCTTACAGATTATTGAAGACCCCAAAGAGCTTTTGTTTATGTAGATTATATCTAATGTTATTTGCTATATTACAAATTAAAATTAAACATGAGAAAATACAAGCACATATCCCATTAGCCATCAGATTGATGAGTGAGAAGTGATAATGTTGAGTTTCCTAATGATCACAGAGACAAAAGTCCCAGAAAGCTAACATAGAAGGGAAAGGGGACTTGTGGATTTTTCTCATTTGCTTGCTTTCAGAGTTGGAAACCATCCTTCTTGCAATGAAAGCTGTCTTTGGGTCCATCGTCCTCATTATTATCCTGTGTGGCGTTGGTGTTCTAGCCTGGAGAAGAAGGCCCCGAGGTGAGAGGCATGTGGAGGTATTCCAGGGGACTGCAGGTGTTCTCATTCCTACAGCTCCTGAGGTTTTTGTTCTTGGTATCTGCTCCTCTGAGCTGCATTTAGAAACAGGTCAACCTTCATGTTGGGGTCACAGAAGAACCTGGGACAACTCTCCCACCAAATAGGAAATATACATCATGGATACTGCTCACCAGGGAAGTGGCCTGTTTTCCTAGGCAAAAGATAACAGCGATTGTGGTTTGTCTTTTTTAGACCATCTTATTAATGATTAGTGACTTAAGGGAATATCACTTTTTTTTTTTTTTGGTGAAACTGGAGTTTGAACCCAGGGCTTCATGTTTGCAAAGCAGGCCCTCTAGCACTTGTGCCATACCTCCAGTCCATTTTGTTCTGGTTATTTTGGAGATGAGGGTCTCTCAAACTATTTACCCAGGATGGCCTTGAACTGTGATCCTCCCGATCTCAGCCTCCTAAGTAGCTAGGATTACAGATGTGAGCCACTGGCACTTGGCAAGTGTCACCTTTTGTATCAAGACTATAGTCAGTTTCCCATTTTTACAACCATTTTTCTTTTCTTTTTTTGTGTGGGGGATCGAATCAAGGGTACATGCTAGGCAAGTGCTCTACCACCAAACTATATTCCAGTCCTTAACAACCATTTTTCTATCCCAATCTTATGAAAGTCCTTTTTCCTTCTAAATTCATTTTTCAAAACATAATATGTGGGGTGGCAAAGTGGCTCAAGTGGTAGAGCATCTGCCTTGTAAGTGTGAGGCTCTGAGTTCAAACCCCAATACCACCATAATAATAATAATATGTTTGTGAGTAGACACCTTTGGAAAATGGGACTTGGGATAAGGAAAAGGGGATGGAGAAACAAGAGATATACAGGCTCTTTATGTTGTGGATAGAAATAAATTAATTTATTAAATATATGTGAAATAACTACTGTGTTCCAAGCACCATACCAGTTGCTGGGAGATAGCAATGAAAAAGACAGACATGATCCCTGTTGTCATAGAGCTGATGATATGGTCTTGTAAAGTCATTTCCTGCCTCTGGTTTTACTAGTTGCTCAAGTTGTTCACAGCAAATATTGATGAGACCTGGGTCATGGTTTGGAACCCAGGTGAGCAGGATCTTGGCTTTGTCTCAATCTTGAACCCAATTCAGGTGATGCTATCCAAGTACATGCTATTATATCCTAGTGAAACTGACCCTTTAGTATAAAATCAACTCAGAGTTAATGAGTCATTAATGTTTCCCTTATAAATAAGGTATAACACTAATCCAAGTCCAATAAATGATAGCTGCTGAAGAAAAAATAAAGTTTTTTTTACAGCTACACACCTCTCTCAGGAACTGAGTTCCTGCCTTTTATCTTGTGGAGTTTGTGAGTGTGACTTAAAATGTGTCAAGTTCTAAGAGAATCTTGACAAAGCAGGCTAAAACTGTCAGTGCCTGCTTCTCAGATTTTGCTGAACATTGCATATTTTATTTTCGAGCTGTGAGGAAACATACATGCATCTGACTGAAAACCACTTTTCCTTTCAGAACAAAATGGAGTCATCTACCATCTTACACCAGATCGATGATTGCTGTTCACCTTCCTAGTCACCAAGCTCTCTGCCCCACAGGCCCTCAAGCCCATTGCTGGAAGTTCTCGACCACACTCACACACACTTGGGTGTTACAGGATTGAGTGTTTATGTCAGAAAGATAGGAACCATGATTTTTTCTTTGTTCTTTGGCTCCAAAAGAAGTATCAGCTTTCAGGCTCTTTTGATGGACTCCTTTATCACATTTGACTTTAAGTACAGTTTGTGTCATGACACAACACTTCCCTACTTCCTATTTCTCCATGGTGATTTGTGGGTAGATTAGAGAATCTCAGAGCTGGAAGGCACTTTCTCATCCAGACAGGAAATGTCTTTACAATGTCATAGACTCAAGCACCCAGCTTCTGCTTTGACACCGTGTTCAGAACACCTCAATATACGACAATAGCCTTTCTTGTTCATCTTCTTTCATGAAAATGTTTTTTATGCAGGAGCTTTGAATATCATAGGCACCAGGACCCTACAGGTAGGGCTGGATCACCCTGTGAGAGCAGCCAACAAGTTTTACAACAGCCTATGAATACCTGATTCTTTCACTCAGACCCTGGCCTGATAGAAAGCACAAGTGCCCTGTTCTTTTATGATGACTTTGCCCCAGTAGGCTTGGAATCTTGGAAGTATGCCTGTTTGGATCTATGGAGATGGTTTCATTCACCCTTTCTGTTTTTGTGGGAAATTAAGAACAATAATAATCAGACAGATTATCACCTTCAGTGGAACTATAGAGATGTACATCCAATTGTGATGTTTGAATGGAAAAGTGACAGTATGATTGTGTCTCAAAAGAAAGTTCAAGTTTGGGTGGAGGCAAGAGGGTTGCTGGGGACTGAATCCAGGACTTTGCACATGCTAGACAAGTGCTCTACCGCTGAGCTAAATCCCCAACCACAGAAGGTTCAATTCTAATTTCTGTCTTTCCTATCCTGGGTTATTGCAGCTGGGCCTGATACAACTTCATCCATAGGCTTTTTCTTTATACGTGTGCACTGAAAATAAATAAAAGCTCCTGTGTGAGAATTAACGTCCCATGTCTCTTCCTTACTCTTCCCAGTCCCCAGAAGTCCTCAGTTTATTTCCCTTTCCTGCTGTGTGTAGCTACTTGACTTAGAGTCATCAGTCACTCAGTCATCTGTCTGCTTCCCTGCCCTGTGTGACTGCACACATGAGCCCTGACACTATTACTTCACTGGCCCCAACTCTGACTACTGGCTTTGAACATGCACCTCAGGTTTCACCTCTGCTCTCCCCTGATATCCACTATGATTTTAATCATCACAGCTACAGAAAGTACACATGCTAGTGTGCCAGCCTCTGAAAACTCACTATTGCTTGTTCTATTGTCCTCCCCTAATTCCATGGATTAAACTCCCACTGCATATCCCTCTTTTCTAGTACCTTGGGTAGCATAGAGCCAATGGCATTTGTTTTGTTTTGGAGTCACCATGGGATATTTTCATACCATCTTTTTAAGCAATGCGGTACTGTGAAGAGAATGTATACAAGTTCATTTCTGGAATGGCTTCTTCTTACAGTCAGAAGTTAGGGCATAATATATTTTTGGATGGGCACTTAAAATGATATGTGTTGTAGCTATGTAGATATCTTGACTCTCCAACTTTATGTTCCCCTCATCAAAGACATGAGGGCAAGAAGTATCTTTGTGCTCCGAAGGCCTTACCTTACACCTAACACAAAAGATGCCCAAATAGATGAAGAGGAGGAGGCAAAAGCAAGGATGTATGCACTTAAAGCATTTTTGCTATACCCTGGAGATTTTGTAATATAAAAAGTTATAAACAGGTGATTTTTAGAAATGCACAAAATTTAGGGATGAGGGTATAACTCAGTGATAGAGTGCTTGCCTTGCATGCACCAGGCTGTGGATTCAATCCACAGCACTGCAAAACAAAAACCCCGAAATTTTAAGCCTTCATTTTACTGTAGGAAGTTCAAAATTATTTTATTTCTTAGTAATTTTAGACTTGGGCTGGTGAAGTGGCTCATGTGGTAGAGCACCTGCCTAGCAAGTGTGAGGTCCTGAGTTCAAACGAATTTATTAATTCGTATCTGTTGATTACATATGCTCAGTAATCAGAATCTAAGAAATATTTGCTACCATAATCTAAACACTAAGAACAAAGATCTGTGCTATCATCGCAATTATGTTTTGGCTGTGAATTGTCTTTATTGAATACTTTGTATTAACACTAGATGAAGAACCTATGAAACTTTTTTTTAAAAACTGCACTACAGTTATCTTTTTTTTGGGGGGGTGGTGCTGGGGTTTGAACTCAGGGCCTACGCCTGAAGCCACTTTACCAGCTTATTTTTGTGATTTTTTTTTTCCTCAGTAGGGTCTTACAAACTATTTGCCTGTGCTGGTTTTGAACCACCACCCTACTGATCTCTGCCTCCTGAGTAGTTAGCACATAAGAGGAGTGCCAATGTCTTGTCGGAAACTGAACTGCCAAGTGGATCTGGTATTTGTCTCAGCTAAGAAGCATATCTTCCAGCCGGGAGAGAGCTTGGTGACCCCAGAATTACAGGAGGGGACACATTCTTACTTTTTTTTTTTCTTTTTATACAATTTATTAGTTCACAGAATGTTTTCCAGGAAGGAGAAAGGATTTGCCCAAAGCTACATGCAGTGAGCCACAGAGCTGGAAGGGAGTACAGGTCGTCTGCCTCCAGCCCAGGTATTTTCCACTTGACTGCATTGCCATTCTTAGAGGATGACTCTCCGCTGCCCATTCTGAAGTGTCTGCACCTCTCTTTCTTTGAACATTTGTCATTGTTTAGCCTTTATCTCTCTGAAACATCTCTGCATTTTCTTTTCACTCTTGATTCTCTTTCTCCAACACCCTTCTAGCTTTAGACTGCCCTAAACCCCATATATTATGACAAAAATCCCCCAAACCTAGAAAATCTAGCTGCTTAAAACAACAAAAACCGTTATCTTTTACAGTTTCTATGGGTCAGGATTTTGGGTAGGGCATAGGTAGGCAATGCTGACTTTTGGCCTCTCATAGAGTTGCAGGCAAGTGGTGTCTAGAAACAAAGGTGCAGCACTTGAGCAGCTGGGGGTGGCGGCCAGATCTCTATCTCCCTATGATCTTAGGGACTGTCTGTGTGGTCTCTTGGAGGTGGGTTAGTTTGGGCTTCTTTACAACATGGCAGCCTCAGAGTAGTTAGACTGTGTACATGGCAGCCAGCTACCCTCAGAGTGAATTTTCTAAGAGATTAAGGCAAAAGTGCATAGTGTTTTTATGACCTAATCTTGGAAGTCATATGGTGTCATTTTTGCCATACTCTTAATTGGTCAAAAAAGTCACAAAATCCTGCTCAAGGAGAGGAGACATAGACCCCAATACTCAATGGGCAGATTGTCAAAATCACATTGTAGGGACAGCATGTAGATGGGAGTCCCTATTTACCCAAGGGGCTCTTCTAGAGCCCAAGACATCTGATGTCTCCATGTTTAATTCTCAGTAAGGTCAAGTTCTACCAGAAGAGAGATGCTGATGCCTTTCTGTAGGTTAAATGAGCTCAGACCTTGGGATCCTCAAGTCCCCTGGACATAACATTTTTGGAAAGAGTGGGGGAGAAGGATATTACCAAGAAGAAACCCAAACAGTGTCTCTAAGGGAACATCGTGAGGCCTTCATTGTGGTCTCATCCAACAAGTTTACTTCTTGCTTCCCCACGGCCGGGCATGGCTGAGGAAAAAGAACACTAAATACAGTTGCCTATATGAGCTTACCATGTAGAAGGATAAAAGCATCTATATATGCCATTAAATGTGTCTTTACTACAAATTTTGTTTGATTAAAACATGGAACTCTCTTGAGGGGGTAGAGGGGAGAGGGAGGGGGTGGAGTGGGTGGTAAGGGAGGGGGTGGGTACAGGGGGGAGAAATGACCCAAGCCTTGTATGCACATATGAATAAAAAAAAAAAACATGGAACTCTTGCCCATTTATTCTGTTTCTGGCTTGTGAACCAACCGAGGACATGAACATGGCCACGGCTAGCCCATAAAGGACATTTGTGGGTGGACAGAGGCCTAGGCCAGGTCACATGGCTTGGCCAACAGAACATAGACTGAATTTTGATCCTGTTTGCCCTCTCAATGGGGGATCCTTGTACAGGGCACAACCTTATATGGCAGCTCTAGTCATACCATTAGAAAATAAAAATTGACTGAATATGAAAATGAATGAATTTATCTGGAAGGGAGGGGTGCTGGTAGAAAAACACAGGCCAGCTCACCCAAGATGCTATAACTAGAAGCCCTGTGTACTTTATCCAAACAGTTAAAACCATCTGAACGGTTTTACATAACCATACCATTGTATTTACCCATAGCGATCTATTTTTAGATCTTTATGTAACATTACGCGGTGTGTTTGCATGATGCTCTGTATGTAGTAGAAACTCAATAAATACTTCTTAAATGAACCAGTACAGTCTTTCAATTAGCTGCTCCTCATGTGCTGGGGCAAAAGAACAGTGTCATCGTACAGCTGAAGTCACAGAGGGGAAACATCCAACTGGGGTCATGTATCATTCCAAGTGCCCAGGTGAATAGGCTATGAAGTCACCTGAATTCTTCCAAGAGCTCAGCAGCGTAACATTCTTTACGGAATAAACTTTACCTTGTCATTTCCTTGTCTGTGAGATTAGAGATCCAAAGATTCTGACAACACCTCCTCCCCCCACCACTACCACCACTCAAGGGCAGAGTTTCTTTGAAGGGGTACTGTTTTCCCTGAAGGCTACAAGAGGTACATGAGAAATTCTCAGCCATTTTGGGGGCCCAAATATCTGGTACCTTCTCTATATTTGTTATTCCTGAGGCTGGTAGAGTTATAATATACTCTGGCTTTTCCTTTCTAGCATCATTTGGGTATTTGATTAATGGAGGCTCTTAAAATACAAATTTCAGCAATTCTTATCAAGGTCCTTAAACGAGGAAGTGCGGGAAAATTCTTAGGAGAATTGGCCCTGGCTGCTTTCTCTTCTCTCCCTTCCTCCCGCTCAGTGTGAACTGAACCCAGCAGGGGCTTCTGCATTCGTTCTGGGGCGGGGGTTGGTTGTGAGAGAAAGTTGGGGGCCAAAAGGTTTTGAGTTGTTGGCATTGAGTGGCTGAGGGGCAGCTGGAAGACTGGTTGGCCTGAAGCCCCTGGCAAGGCCAGTCTGGGTCTGAGGCAAGTGCGTAGCAGCAGCTAGACCTCTGAAGAAGCCAGACAGGGGCCAGAGAGTGGGAGCAACACAGGAAAAGCCCAGCTTCTGTGAGAACCTCACCTACAGAAAACAGTCAAGGAACAGGAGGTGACAGGATGAAATGGGCAGCCACCTAAAGGGGAAAAGATGTGAAAGCAAAGGAGAAATGAGACATGCAACCCCCAGCTGAAGTGATCTTTGCCTTGTTTCCTTTTTGAGGCATCACTGCAAATTTTAAGGTTACCTGAACTGAACAAAAGCTCTCTTTTCTTCCCTGAGTAACATGACAGTATCATAATTAGAGAATTCTATGAACACTCTGAGAAGAAACACGCTCTAAAAAGTGACAATTCTGGGAAATTTTGAAGGACTGAAATTATAAAAACTAAACATTTGGAGTCCCATCAGCTGCTTGAAATACAACCCTCTCCTGTACTTTAAAATACTCAAGCACTCACTCTGCCTGTTACTCACCAAACAGCTACACACTTCTGCATTATGCACCACAGGAAGTTGTTGGACCAGACGTACCCCCTGAGGCTGAGAACGTGGGCTGCCTTCCACCTTCCTTTTAAAAAAACTGAATTAGTCATTGATCCCTGAGGATCCCTGAAGAGGAAGGGCAGGCTGCTCTAATTCAATTTTGGCCTTTGTAAGTGATATTTGAGATCAAATTTCAAGATTTGTAAACCAGCTCAAGTTCATTGACTTGAAATCAGTCTGTAAGATGACCTGTTTATAGACCCAATGATGACATTTTCAAAGACTGCTTCCGGCTGCATGGAATTATTAGTTTCTCTGTGTGGCATTATATTTGCTTATTTTCATTAAAGCTACAAAAGTTTGCTTGCCCCAATTTCTTATTCATAACCTATCACAGTTACTGATACTCAAATTAAGTTCTTATGGCTTTCATTAATCAGTCATTTTTAGAATGCATGTTCCCTGAGACTGAGACTCCAGTATGGGAGACATGAAAGGCAGTAGATAC